TTGTCAGAAAAGCTGAAAAAGGCTCCGTTAAATCCTTATATAATTAATTGGTTTATCAGTTTTCTTTCAGATATTTGGTACTAGTGAGAAATCTGGCAGAGTAGATTCTTAACAGGTTCTTATTTGCAACAACGGGTCGCCTGACCCTAATCCCCTTAAAAAGAGAAGTTGTGTCAAAATGAACATCTGAAATGAAAAGAGCACCTCGAAATTAGTAAGAAGGCAAAGTTTCAGCTTATGACATGTAACATAGGAGAAATGGCATTAGATACAAAATCGAATATTTTATGAGGATTTGTGTGGAAAAATGGGCTGGATAGCAAAGCTCGCCATCCAGCCCATTTTCCCATACAAATACTTATAAAATATTCGATTTTGTATTTAATGTCATTTCTCCTATAGTCAACATTATGAGCTAAAACTTTGCCTTCTAACTAATATCAATTCGCTCTTAGGGGGTAGGGTCACGTGACCTGTTGTTGCAAGAGGCTTATTGGATAAGGAAAATTGGACATTTATGTAGTTTTAGTATATCATTTTATAGATATTAAAAAAGAAATTAGAAATTTAGCATTTTTGATTTTAGAATCCTTATTTATTTCTAATTCTAATTCTAATTTGCTATTTGAAAGGAAATGTGTCGGTACCGCAATCAACAATCAACAATCAACACCATGAACCAGCTAAAAAATTAACAAAACGATACGTTGTTAGAAATATATGCTACCTTTCACATCTATGTCTTCAGGAACATCTCGTTCACAGCATACTGAGTGCCTTCGCTTTCTTGTAGTACCCTTCCTTTGGACACCTGGCATACATATTTGGAAATACATTAGAAAAGAATTAATTTGAGAGCAATAGTCTTGAACATACAGTCAAGCCTCAGTTTTTAATAAAGTGTCACTATGATCAAATTTTACATGTCTCCATTTCTTGGTAGCATTTTTTGTTAGAGAGATATTCAATTTTTTAGCTGATGCTAATTAGGAGGTTGATGACGTCATATTCTCAACTCACAGTTTGCTTATCATCCCATGCTTGCTGAGTATTGAGAATATGACGYCATCAGGAAAATGGCCGCCATTTTATAAACTCCAATATCTTTTGAAGAAAAAATATAATGTTTTTGTTTCAACATAGATTTAAGTATATTTCTGAAAATATTTGATGAAATGTCATTTCCTTTTTCAAATATATTTTTTCCTTTAAAAGAAATTGGAATTTAAAACTAATGGCTGCCAATTTCATATTCTCAATACTTATAGCCAGCATAGGATTATGGTAAGCTACATSTCAGCCCAATTTCAAACAAAATCAACCAAATTTATTACCCAGTATTATAGGAATCTAGCTGTTCCTCAAAATTAATTAAGTAGATGAGTTGTCATAGCAACAGCTTTGGTTCCAGGCCACTCCTAACTATAATTCAAGTTTTTGTTTCAAGGCTATATTAAAATATCTGTTGTGGTCATACACAAAAATTTAGACCAACGGTTTTCTGCTCAAGCAATTGCTGAAAGGCTAAAATTGTTCTTAGGGCCCTGGACAACAGGGACGGAAGTTGCCATAGCAATCACCATAGTTTGTTTATTGTCATGTTACATGTTTTGATTGCAAGTATACTGCAAAGTTTGAAGTGCCATTTCAATTCATTATCAAAGATCTTTTAATCCAGACAAGAAAAAATAGCAAGTCAGAAATTTGATCATAATATATTAGCACTTTAAAAAGTAGCCTGCGTAGGAACCTCTGGCGAGGAGTGGGGATTCCTCTCCAGATTACCACTACATAGGCTATTTGTTTAAAAAGAAAAAACTAAATGAATGCTAGAATGCAAACACTTTGTATACAGAGAATCAACACCAACAGCCTACCAACAAAGAAACAAAAACGATATTTGTGTGAAATATATTCTACTTACCTTTAACATCCATTGGTTTACTGCTATCTTGAGGAACATCTCGTTCACAGCATACTGAGTGCCTTCGCTGACTTTTACCATTCTTCATTGGTTTACCTGTAACACATATTTATACAAATAAATAAGAAAAGTAATAGAAAATCGATAGTTTGAAACATTCAAAATTACAGGGAGTATGGCCGTAGGTTGAATCTCTGAAGCTATAAGGAGCTACCTTTATACATATGTATCATCAGGCCTACTCTGGGTCCTTTCTCAGCGTTAGATCGCCTAACATCCCCTTAGACTACCATTTCGATAAACAGATTGCATTGTGGTCTGGATTCGGTATAAGAAATGATGAACAAAAGATGTTTGTACACAAGATAGACCAGAATGCACCACGTTTACTATCTCAAAGAGGTCTACGGTGAGGTCTGAATATGAGTCATAATAATTCATTATTGGATGAGGTTTTGATGGTATCCAAAATTATCAATGTCTCAGCAAGTGTTATTGGCCTTGACATAAATTCCGGATATCATCAAAACTCTCGAATCCAATAAATGTTTTATTATACATTGTTCTAATAGATTAACTGATAATACAAAGATAGAAACGTTATAATAAACTTTATTTTAAAAGTTTCAAAATCATACATTTAAAAAAAAACTACAGATAACCGCCATCCGCCGACCTATACAGGCTCGTTTTTGCAGATAACTCAGTATCGACCACTCGCTGATGCATGCTGATAGCTAGAATTATCTGTAGGTTCTCAACCAATGAGAATTCAGATAGTTAGAACAATGTATAATAACAACCTTTGTTTTCCTTTAGCAAAACCCAAAACACATAATTTTAAATATGCCCATCCATGGGATATGGGTTGTTGATTGCAATTATTATTTTGTTAGCAAGTGGAAAAGGGAAAAAAATTTGTTTTGTATTGGTTAAATCTTTGAAGTACAGGTGGGCACAAAGTCGAACCAGGGAGGGGTGCGCACCCCCTGCACCCCTCCCCTGGATCCGCCACTGCTTGAACCAGTCCATGACAAACGTTTTTTGTATGCACATACAATCGGACCTTGGATGTTTAGTGGGATTAAGTTTGTTAATATAGTTTAATGTTTAACGGGGTTGGTCAATCTTGTATATCATATATCATGTATCATGTTTCGCCTCGTGGCTTGTTGTTCATTCCGAATAGTACATTATACGTCGCTAGATCGATAGAATTGTTGTTATTACCACTCCCACCTGCCCTTATGGCAGTTGTATTATGTTCCAGTGTATAGTGTATTAAAGCTGCCCGGATTTAGCCCATACAGTGGTCACGTGTATAGTTTACATTAAAGAGTAAAACTAAAACAATTACTAATGCTAACAGTGTCGGCCTGTCTAAACCAACCAAAACCATATTTAATTTTGAGAAATATATTCTTACCTTTTACATCCAAGAGGATAAGATTCCAAAGAACTGCATGGTATTCTTCCTCATCTATTGTAACCTCCACGTCAATCTCTTCTCCTTGGCTCAGTTCCTTCAATTCTTCCTCCTCATTGAGGGATTTTTTCAGTTTTTCTTTCAACGAGCCATCCTTGTAGCTCTGCCATAGACGTTTTAGTGATGAAATGCTTGAGACTTTCAAGACGATAACAACCGAGCCCCTAAGGAGTGCAACTACTTGAGCCCCAAAATCCACAAATGTTTTAAGGTTTTGCAGTTTTTCAAGATCCGTCCCATATTTACCAATAAAGGTTGCTCCTGCTAAGGTTAGTAGAACTCCTTTTACTGATATTTCAGTCTTCAAATGTATCACTGTTCCTGAAGAGAGATTGTATTCACAATGAGGATGTTTCAATCTGGGGCTTTGGACTCATGCAGTCTGTCAAATAGAACTTTTAATGGCCAGCTTTTGATATTCTAGACCTACTCTGGGTTATTACCCTGCATTAGATAATCTAAGACGACCACCTTAGATTCTATCATTTTTTTTAATTAGCTCACCTTTGATGGCAATATGTCGCCTAGCCATTATATTGACTAAGATTGGCTTGGATTGCCTTATATTGCCTATATCGCCCAAGCTTATTCCCATTTTTTTTGGAAAATGCCTTAGTTTGCCGCTTTATGATGGCCTTACGTTGCCACTCCCCACAGCAGGGTAAGGACCCAGATTTGTCTGACTTTCTMTTCATTAGAAGATTTGTTTCCCAAAATCAAGATCGTTTCAGGTACAGTTTAAATCATCGAGGACATTCTTTGCTTTATTGTAGTGTTGCTTTGTGTTTGMAATTGGACCTGGAAACACAACACAACTTAAAAGCTCTTATGAGGTCCCAAGCATTGTGTGGGATGCTCTGGCTTCATAACTCACCTTTAAACATATCCCACATAAAACCTATGGAAAGAACAAAATAAAGAAAAAAATATTGAGTAACATTGGTATTAACTTAAGATCAGCTTACTTATGAATAATTTATTGATGATAATTGAACTGAATCAAAACGTACACTACTGGCCGAGTGAAGTTAATTATATATCCATTTAACGAGTTGACATCAGTTTTTTGTGTTTGTCAACTAGATCGCGTTATTGACAATAAATTGAAACATTAGCTACATAATTTCTCAAAGTAGTAAAGCACAAGGCATAGCCGAAGAGAAAAAAGAAAAGTAGTGGTGATGTTTTATTCCACGACTTGTCTATATTTTTTTAGAATCAATGAACTATTCCAATGAACTGCGAACACTACGAGGCTTTTCTTTTTAAATACATAAAAAATAACCCCCCTTCTCATAACCACACCCTGTCATTTAGAAAATAGATCAAACTCCCCCCCCC